GTTAATGATACTTTTTCCTCATATACTTATAAATATGTGAATATTATAAATAGGAATATTTATAAAGTTTAGAAATACATAAGACTAGAAGAATATACACATAAATGTTATAAATGATTACCTCTGAGTGGTAAGAATAAAAAGGTGATCGTTGCTCCTTTATAGTTTCCTGCATTTTCAAATTTTCTATGAAAACTGTATTACCCTTTTAAAAAGCAGAATAAAATATTGGCTTTGAACTATCTGGTTTGCAATGAGTATGTTCTTGCCTAAAAGAAGAAGTAGGTAACCTTTCAATGTCCTTTCTTTGTAAAACTTCATTCTTAGTGAGTTTTAGAAATAAGACTTCATTATTAGGCAAAGGGCCAAGCACAGTTACCTAAACCAGGAGCTAACAACCTTGTGTTAGTTTTTTTTTTTTGTGGTTTTTTTTTTTTTCCTTCTTTTTCAAGACAGAGTCTTGCTTTCTTGCCCAGGGTGGAATGCAGTGGCGTGATCTCAGTTCACTGAAACCTCCACCTCCTGGGTTCAAGCAATTCTCCTGCCTCAGCCTCCCAAGAAGCTGGGATTACAGGCATGTGCCACCATGCCCAGCTAATTTTTTTGTTTTTTTAGTAGAGATAGAGTTTCACCATGTTTGCCAGGCTGGTCTCAAACTCCTGACCTCCAGTGATCTGCCTGCCTCAGCCTCCCAAAGTACTGGGATTACAGGCATGGGCCGCCACGCCCAGCCTCCTTGTGTTAGTTTTATTGAAGTAACTGGCTTATACTTTGCCATGTAAATATAATTTATTCTTTCAGATTTTATTGACTAAGCATGCTGTTAATCAGAGGCCAAAGTCAAAGTCCTGAGAATCCACTTAAGAAGAAGAATGTTAGACACCAGAGGAATCTAAGAGTCCTTGTGTTACAACTCTCTCTTTTGACCAGATGAAGAAAACAAATCAGAAATGTTAACAACATACCCTGGCCAACCCAGTTAGATTTGGACAGAGGTCCCCATGTGGTTTCCACGATGATTTCTGCATAGTAAACGGAAGTAAATGAGGAAGAAGTAAGGAACAGAGAATTCAGCAACGCTTTGGCCTACACAAAAATAAAACATCAGGAATTGGTAACAATTGTGGCCAGGCTAACTAAAGTGACTAACTATTCCTATGGGTACCCACTTCACAATACATGCATCTCATAAATTAAACCTGCTAAGTCACTTTACCATGTCTTTTTCACCAAGATATTGGCTTTTTTTGTTTGTTTGTTTTACTGAGGTAAAATTTACCTATAGTGAAATGTACAGTTAAGTTTTGACAAGTGCATACATCCAAGTAACCAACACTTCAATCAGAATATAGAACATTTCTACCACCCTAGAAAAAATTTTCAATGTCCTTTCCAGCCAATCCACCCTGTTCTAATGTCTATCACCATAGGTTCATTTTGTTTGTTCCAGAACTTCATATAAATGCAGGTATTTAGTATGTACTCTTGTGCCTCGCTTTTTCACTTGGCATGTTTTTTGATATTTATCCACGCTGTAGAGTGTGTCATAGCTGATTCATTTTTATTGTGGTATAGTGATCTATCAAATAAATATACCATAGTTTTCCCTTCCCCTGCCCCCCTCTTTTGTTGAAGGACATCTGGATTGTGTTCATTTTGGTGTTAAATAAAAAATAAGTCCTAATCCTGGCACCACCTTGACCAAATAAAGGGATGTTTTGGGAATTGGATTTTGTGACTTTTGAGATTCTGCCTTACACTGATATTTATTTTTTTTTCAGGGGCCTTTCTCCCGTCATCTCTTCTCCAAGTAAATCATACATAATATATGCAAGTGGAGAGGAATGAAGTGGGTGATATTGAAGATAGGCACGTTTATTTATTCATTATACAAGACATAAAGGCTAAATATAGGAAACAATATCCTGGCAAGTCTCACATTCTAAGCTCGGAAAAGACTAGTAAATCTGCAAGGTGCAAAAAAGAGGCAGCAATAGTGACAACCTATTAAGTTTAAACTATTATCAAGAACCCAGTGATAACTATTATAATTACAGCTTTTGTTTATTGAGTACTAATTGCTAGACATTGTGCTAGTTATTTTATTTAATCCCTATGCTTGATATAGGTATATTTATTATCTCAATTTCAGTTCAAGAACATGGAGGCTCAGAGAGTGCATAAACACATATATAGAAGACACTCAAAGGAGTATATATGAAGGGAATCATAAGAACTTAAAGGGAACGAAGGTGTTAATTTTTAAATGACCTGTGGAGTTGCGCAACTAAATAGTGCTAATAACATTTCTACTTTCTCTCTTCATTAGCATTTTGCAAACCCTTCTTAAGCGATGCACTCTCTCTGTTCATACTCATTGACTCTGGATGGGTGTGGTGTGTGGCATTTACCTCCCGAGAATTACAAACCAACTGAACAATTGTAGTTTTACAAATAGAGTAATTTAATACCACTCTTTATAACAAAATAAGTACTCAGCTATTTTAGATATACTGTAACCAACAATTCTGGCCAAAATCCATGTAGAACAAGAAGGATATAGGTAGGAAAGTGGGTGGCTTAAAATTATCTTTAGGGTCTCAATAAAAATGATTTTTCCCATAATCCTCTCACTATCTTTCTTACCACTTCTGCCCACCCAAAAGATCTCTTAGTATTCTTTTCCTTTACTGCTTCTGCTATTACTTTTTTACCTATATAAAATAAGAGACATGAAGCAGAAAGTATTCCTTTATGTGGCAAAATCGCCCTGAATGTAATTTGGGGAAATTCATCCTTAAGGAGCACTGAATGAGCTGTGTGGTTTCATGTTTAAAATAGTGTATCCAGCTGGGCATGGTGGCTCTCGTCTGTAATCCCAGCACTTTGGGAAGCTGAGGTGGGCAGATTACCTGAGGTCAGAAGTCCGAGATCAGCCTGGCCAACATGATAAAACCCTTCTCTACTAAAAATACAAATTTGTCAGGCGTGGTGGTGCAGGCCTGTAATTCCAGCTACTCAGGAGGCTGAGACAGGAGAATCGCTTGAACCAGGGAGGCAGAGGTTGCAGTGAGCCAAGATCACACCACTACATTCCAGCCTGGGTGAGAATTCTATCTCAAAAAATAATAATAATAAAATAAAACAGTGTATCCATAATATGATGAACAGTATCACTTCCTGTATTAGTTTGCTAGGGCAGCCATAACAAAGTACTACAGACTGGACGTTTTAAACAACAGAAATTTATATTTATATCCTCACCATTCTGGAGACTAGAGGTCAAAACCCAAGGTATTAGCAGGGTTGATTTCTTCTGAGACCTCTCTCCTGACTTGCAGATGGCTGCCTTCTGACTGTGTCCTCACATCCTCTTTCCTCTCTCTGTCCTTATCTCCTCTTTAGACACCAGTCATAGTGGTAAGAGCCCATCCACAGGACTCCATTTGAGCTTAATTACCTCTTTAAAGGCCCTTTCTCCAAATACAGTCTTATTCTGAGGCACTGGGGGTTAGGACTTCCACATATGAACGGTGAGGAGAGGCCAAATTCAGCCCAGATTTCCTATCTGCCCCACAGATCTGTTAACATAGTGAAAATGAGAGATTTAGGAAAACACTATACATGCAGTTACATCCTGTACAATATAAAAGGGTGGCTGTTGGAGTTGTTAAATTAGTCACAGCTTCAACTATTTTAAAATCATTTGTGAATTTAAATTGCTTGTATGGGATGATGTATATAGCGGCTCTAGAGACCAAAGCCTTAGAATCAGATGACATCCAGAATGTCATGTTGAAGATCATATCTGCAAACAAGTAGTTTAAATTTTTAAAAACTTCTCTTAACAATTTAAAAATTCAAAAAAACTGAGAAAAGTAATCTCACAAGTAGTGGTTAATTATAGAAGATGAGAGGTGTGGAGGTTTTTTTTGTTTGGGGTGCATAAGCTTAAAATAACATGAAAAACTTGTCAAAAAGAATATGAGAACAGAGTGGACTTGAAATTTAACATCCTACTGGCATCACTTGTTTATAGAAAAATAAAATGAATCATGTATTTATTTAGAGGATTCACTATGCTTTATTTGGTCACATTTTTATAGGTACAGCCTGGTGTTCAAACTTTTCATGTATGGAGAAAAATGAAAAGGCTAGAAAAATGGCCCAGTACAGACAGTTCTATGCTCAACCCAACTTGAACAGAAACTACAGGATTTGGCCTAAACAAGACAGAAAAGGAAGCCCTTATCAGGAAAGCCATTATCTGGGAAGATTAAATAAAGTAAGACTTTGTTTTTAAAGTATTATACAATTCATATCCAATATTTCAACCTTAGCCTTTCAAGTGTTGTCTAACACCAATAATATTGCCACCCTTCCCTCAACCGGTTTTCTTTTTATATTTCTGGCTACTTAAATCCCCCAAGCAAATTCTGGTTTCGCTATTTCTGGATTTAAGTACATTTTCTGCTGCACCCAGGCCACACGCAGGAATGGACACAGCTTTTGCTCTCCGCATAGAAGTTTTCTAGCCCAGGGCAAGTTCTCAGAACGTGACTCCTGCCTCGCTGCCCACCCCTCGCTTCCCCCACTCCCGCCATCATCCCTTCCGCAGCGTCGGCTGCCGAGCCGACACCCACAGATTCTGCATTCCATGGCTTCCCAGCATCCTGCTGCCTCTGCGTGGAGAAAAGGGTGCTGCGAATCCCGGTTTGGATAAAGAACTACACCGAAGCCTGCGGGAATATGGCGTTGACCCCATTCTCCCAGCTCAGGGTATAGGTGCTAAGGCCGAGCTATCTCACTGGCCTGCTCACCAGTTTCCCGCACTCAGCACAGATCCTAGCACGGTTTATGCACTTCGTAACTACGCGTTTGCGTTTGTCAACTGACAAACGAGTGATAATCACAAACGAATGACACAAGCGAATCCAAGAGCCAATCAGAGCGCAAGGTTGTGTTGCCAGCATCCCAGTTTCAGGGACAGTCACCACCAGACCCGACCCAACAAAGGGGCGTAACGGGACTTCGGGGCAAACTTCAGGTTCCGCACCCGCTCGCCCGCCAACCCCCTCCGCCAGGCAGCCCGCGCGTCTCCAGGTTCCGCCCGGGCGTCACTGAATGGAGGCGGCGGGGAGAATGCGCGCGGCACAGCCAATCCGGGCGCGCTTCTACGGCCCCTGCCCGCCCCCGACCTTCCAGGGCACAGCAAGACACTGACGCCGCGGGGCAGGCAGCTGCGTGCGCGTCTCCTCCAGGCAGCAAGGGGAACCCGAGGCCGCCAGCGCCCCGACCATGTCCTCTCCGGGGCCGCCGCAGCCCCCCGCCGAGGACCCGCCCTGGCCCGCGCGCCTCCTGCGTGCGCCTCTGGGGCTGCTGCGGATGGACCCGAGTGGGGACGCGCTGCTGTTGTGCGGCCTCGTAGCGGTGCTGGGCTGGAGCTGGCTGCGGCGTCGCCGGGCGCGGGGCATCCCGCCCGGGCCCACGCCCTGGCCCCTGGTGGGCAACTTCGGTCACGTGCTGCTGCCTCCCTTCCTCCGGCGGCGGAGCTGGCTGAGCAGCAGGACCAGGGCCGCAGGGATTGATCCCTCGGTCGTCGGCCCGCAGGTGCTCCTGGCTCACCTAGCCCGTGTGTACGGCAGCATCTTCAGCTTCTTTATCGGCCACTACCTGGTGGTGGTCCTCAGCGACTTCCACAGCGTGCGCGAGGCGCTGGTGCAGCAGGCCGAGGTCTTCAGCGACCGCCCGCGGGTGCCGCTCATCTCCATTGTAACCAAGGAGAAGGGTGAGCGGGAGCGGGGGCCGGGGGGCGGGGGGCGGGGGGCGTGGGCTGTGGGCTGTGGGTATGCGGATGCAGCGGATGAGTCTCCAGGTGCGCGGGGTCTGCAGTTCCTGTGCCCCTTCCGGCCGCGCGCCCCCAGCCTGCCTCACACCTGCATCCTGAACTAACAGGTGTTGCTGGCTGCGGCGCCTCTCCTTCCTGATGCCTTTAAGATCCCATCAAGTAGTGACGGACGCGTGACTTGTTCATACTCCAAGATCAGAAGTAGAAAAGTCATCCGGAGGTTGCGGGAGAATAATAGGGATAGCGGGAGGACAAGGTGGCAAGCCAGGTTCCATCTTTCCAAAAGTAGTCTTCCCTTCCACCAGCTGTGACCTCGGAGAGAAACTTTGGCCTCCATGTTAGAAAGAGGGAAGGATGTTCTTTTTACCTTGTGAGTTTCAAATGCAAGAATTTAAGATATTTTCCAATAAGATAAAAAGTCCAGAAAACACGGTAGAAGCCTATTACCAAATCTCAGGCGCTGGTTCATAGCCTCTGATTCCTGCGTATGGGAGTCTAAATTGGACAATTTTGCGGGTTGGAAAACGTGTTATCTGCTGCAATAAAATGTCCAATCTAACCTGTCTCTACCGTCCCCCTTTGTCTTATTGGCTGGCTTAGGTCTCTGACTTCTTTTCTGAGTCACTCCTATCCATCAGTCAGGTGTTAAATGCCTTTTCCTCGGGGAAGCCTTTTCTCACAGTCTCTCCAAGTAGGGTAGGCTCCCTTATTAGAACTAGGTCCCTTACCCAAGCACTTTTCCTTCACTGCACTTTTCAAAACTGAAGCTACATAACTTTGTGACCTTGGGCCTGGATGTCAGTCTTCACCACTGTTCTGACATTTAGGAGGACAGAGTCATTACTGCCTGAAACATAGTAGGAGCTCAAGTATCTATTAAATAAATGAATGCTATTTCCTGTCCTTATGACATGGCAAAGAGAGATCTAGGCTTTTCAGAATCTGATAAAGCCAGAGTTTTGCATCAGGATTTTAAACGAAAAAGACAAATATTGTATGATCCACTTATATGAGGTGCCTCCTAGCATAGTGAAATTCATAGAGACAGAAAGTCTCAGTTTTGCAAGATGAAAAAGTTCTGTGGCTGGACAGTAGCAGTGGTTGCACAACAGTGTGAAAGTACCTTATGCCATTAAGGTGTGCACTTAAAAATGGTTAAGATGGTAAATTTTATATGTATTTCACCACAATTTTTAAAAAAGAAAAGAAAAGCAGGTAGGTTTTCTCCAGGCAGCCATGAGCTCAGAAGAGAATTCTAGGTAGAAGCAGTATTACAAAAGCATGCAGTGGATGAGGTGTGAACTGTGACATTTGTTTTTCAGTGGGGCATTTGAAGTATTATGATCTTTATCTCTACTCATTTAAAATCCTTAGCATAATGTCTTAGAGTTCATCCATGTTGTGGCATGTGTGAAAATTTTCTTTTGAAGACTGAATAATATTCCATCATATGTACAATCATCCCTCCTTATCTGTAGGGGATTCCTTCCAGGACCTCCTGCGAATAACAAAACCCTAGGATGCTCAAGTCCCTGATATAAAATGGTGTAGTATTTGCATATAGCCTATGCATAGGGATCTTGGATACTTTAAATCATCTCTAGATTATTTATAATACCTACTACAATATAAATGCTTTGTAGATAGTTGTTATACTGTATTGTTTAAGGAATGACAAGAAAAAAAGTCTACACATTCAGTACAGATGCAGTTTTTTGATCTGCGGTTGGTGGAACCCACAGATGTGGAACCCATGAATGTGGAGGGTCGACTGTATATACCACATTTTGTTTACCCATTCATCCATTGATAGACACTTGTGCCTCCACCTTTGGGCTATTGTGAATAATGCTGCTATGAATAGAAGGGTACAAATATCTGAGTCCCTAGGAGTTGCTTGATCATGTGGTAATTCTAGGTTTAATTTTTTGAAGAATTATCATACCATTTTCCAGTGAGTGCACCAGTTTACATTCACACAGGGGTCCCAATTTCTCCACGTCCTCACCAACACTTTTTTCTTTTTTTTCACACTTGCTTTTAAGATTGGGCTTAAATGTTACCTCTTTGAGAATGTGTACCCTGAGATGCTTCCCTACCCTGCAGAACGAGATTAACTTCTATGATACTGTTGTTTCATTTTAAGACCTTCCCAGTCTCTTCTAATCAATCCATAAGTCTTATTGACTCCTACAGTAGATATGTGCTACATCCATCTACTTTTCTCCATCACTACTGCCAGCACCCTCATCCAAGCTACCATCATTTATTTATTTTTCTTTTTTTCTAAAGCTACCATCATTTCTAATCTGATACTTTAGAAGCCTCTTGACTAACCTGCTTGCTTCCACTCCAGATTTGCATCCACAGAGCAGCCAAAAGGATCTCTTACATAAACTATGAATCAAACCCTGTAGCTCTCTGGCTGAAACCAATTGCCTCCCCACTCCATACTTGATCTACTGTGGCCTGAAGGATCTGGCTGCTGCATTTCTCTTTTTCAGTTCTCCTTTCATTTGTACATTTCAACCTGGCCTTCCTACTCTAGACACACTAACCTGATTTCTGCCATGCCTGGGCCTGCCTCAAGGTACAATGTTTGTCTTCTTTGGGCCTGGAATAACTTCTTGCTTGACTGATTGCTTGTCATCCCTCAGGCCAATTGTTACCTTTCAGTGCTATATTAGTCATTGCCCAGTACCACCTCTTATTTTATCTCATTCACATTTTTCTCATTAAACACTGGGAAGTATAGTATTTAGCCTATTACCACCCCCACCTCTCAATGGAATGTGAGTTTCTTTAGGGCAGAGATTTTGTTCCTTTTGTTAACCACTGTATCCCTACTTCTTGGCACAGAATAGAGAACCAAAAGATGAATGAATTTGTGCATACAAGCATCTATTGATGTACGTATCACGTATTATAATTTGTTTTGTGTGTCTGTCTCTTCCTCTGGATTTCTTAAGGTAGGAATTAGATTTTCTTCTTTGAGATATTAACAGTATAGTTTCCAATTCTTAAAAAAACAGTTTATCAGAGTGCTTCTTGGTGGCTGTTTGGTTGAGAATCTATAATAAGGTCATTTCTAAGCATTAGTTGGACACTGCTTACTATTAAATCTCTATTTAGAAAAGAGTGGGGAGCCTGGGGGCAATTTGGTGCTTCAGTAGTATCTCAACTCAAGTATTCCCCCAAGAGACAGGGTTTTCTTAGGCAATGCTGCTCTGGTATATGTCGGGTGAATATGCTGTCAAAGAATTAATGAGAGAAATTTCAGTGGCTGGAGAAGGTGTTGACAAGATAATACAAGGCAAGAACCATGTGGCATAAAGAAAATGCTTGTGGACTTAACTTGGAATAAAGAACAGATCATCTGAATAAGAAAATGTAGCTAGCAGAGGATTTTTTAAATAGGACTTTTTCAAGGGTGAAGAATAAAAAGGGAGGGTGTGAATTTATTTCAAGATGATCATCAGAGGATGAAGGAGCAGATGAGTTGTGAGTGGACTTCCCAGATCAAGAAAGGGACAGCATTATCAGCCTGAAGAAGAAAGGTCACTGTGACTACAGTCAAGATGCTCAGCTCAGCAAGACTTGAGGATAGCTCAAACCATCTTTGGCTACTGTACCCAGTAGCAAAGAAGTAAATGTGATATTGTCCAGAAACAAGATGTGTAGGCCATAAGAGAAAAGAAATTATGTTAGGAATTAGAGGCCGATAACATTATTCAATATTTATTATTTTTTGAAAGAACTTTGCTGCTGAAGTTGATGAGAATAGCAGAGAAGAGTATGTTTCATAAACAGTGATGTGCGAAGAGAGGCTAGAAATAGTTGACTTAATACATTTGCTGAAAGTTCCAGATGTAGGAAGTTTATTTGTTATGTTTAAATTTTTCAAAATTTCATGATTAGACAAGTTGGTCGTCTTCTTAAGCCCATAAAAACTACAGTAAACTAGGTAGGCCATAAAGATGCTGTGTCCATCATTCTGATTGATTCTTTTCCTAAGCACAAAAAGAAAAGAAAACTACAAAATCAGAGCTAAGTCTACCAGAGGAGTGTTTCACTCTTAAGTGTGCTGCTAAGGTGTCCCCAAAAGTTTATGTATTAGAAACTTAATCCCTAATGCAATAGTGTGGAGAGATAGGAACTTAAAAGATGATTAGGTTATGAGAGCTCTGCCCTCATCAATGGATTAGTGCTGTTATCACCAGAGTGGGTTAGTTATTGTGGGAGTGGGTTTCTGATAAGAAGGATGAGTTTGGCCCCCTTTCTCTCTCTCTCTCTTTCATCCTCTCTTACACTTCTGCCTTCTGCCATGGGATGATGCAGCATGAAGGCGCTTGCCAGATGCCAGTGCTATCCTCTTGGACTTCCCAGCCTTCAGAACTGTAAGAAATAAATCTCTGTTCTTTATAAATTACCCAGCCTGTGGTATTCTGTTATAGCAACACAAAACAGGGTAAGACATGTGATCTGTTTCTTCTAAAAGGTTTGTATACATCACATTTTTATTTTAAAATATTCAAAGTAAAGCTCAAAGAACAGTATAAACTTGATTATCTGCAGCTCAGATCTGCTTCAGATTCATAAATAACACATAGCTTTATTTGGTATGTTCTTCTAAAACTTGCATATGTTGGATACTTAAAGTATCTTTCTCTAACTAGCTTTTGTTATTTAAAAGTGTTATGTTTTAACCATATTATGCAGTATTCCACTAAATAGAATGAATAAAATGGCATCAAATTCTCTATTTCACTGTTGATAAAAATTAGGTAAATTTTACATTTTTTTGCTCTTACCAACTATGCTACCACAAATGTTTGTAGGACACTAGTCATGAAAGTAGAAAAAGAAACACTGATTTGACTTGTAAAACCTGATATGGCTCAGATAATATCACTGGAGACTTGGAGCAAGAGTCAAAGCAA